CATTTATTTTTAGAAGTGGACTATTATTTTGGGACAAACCAAAAAGGAAAGATGGACTATAATTTTGGGACGGAGGGAGTATTTTTTATTGTTAGAAGTGTTTTATATTGTGAAACTATATGTAAAACTCGTATAATACACGGATTGATTAAAAAATATTATATATCAAAGCGTAAACAATAAGTATTTTTAAATAAAATTTTGAAATTAGAAATGAAGATACGTATTAATTGCATTCTACTATCATATTATTACATTTAATATTTTACATATATAAGTATATAAGTATTTTGTGGCTTTTTAATTTTAAAAATAAAAAAAAATTTGGAAATTGATATGTACATATTATTTATTTCAAAAATATTATAAAATAACAAGTATCAAAACTAATAAGAGATTGACATGTCAAAATGGATTTCATTTATTATAGTTGATTTATAGAATAACTAGCATATTCAAATGTGTATTAAAATTTTAAATATCATATTTATATTGGACTCGTTTAAGCGTTCTCTATCAGATTTTTATTTTAACAAAGTTAGTTAAAAATACTTTAATCTTTATGTTGAATATTTACAATTTATGTATAAAAAAGAATTAATGTATTTGATGTTAAATGAATAACAAATCAAATTAATTTCTTAATATCTTACTATTCATCATTGATAAAAGTTTAGTACAGTTAAAATGAACTTAGCATTAATTCAAAAAAAAAAAAAAGTGCTTAAAGCATTTATACTTAACATTGAATTTTGATCCTAACCATACTCCATTTTGGTGTATGCATGTTAAATTAATTACAGCCATGCTCGATTTATATATCTTTTTTTTTTGAATGGCCATGTTATATTAGAAACTAACAATGAGATAGAAAAAAAAATTACAAAAGCATTGATACTTAACAATGAATTTTGCAACCTCACAATGACATTAATTTTAGAATTTATATAAACCGCCCATTAAAAACAATCTTATCAAACTTGCGCTGCTTTGATGATAGTAAGACATGAATTTGATGTGTTATTCACTAAACACCAAAACCACTAACATCTTCTATACATAAGACAACATTCATATACCAAATTAGCAACAACATGAACCTCCAATATGAAAATCTAACCAAAGCCGATTTCTTCATGTTTGGAATGTTGAAGGAATATGAATAAACTTAGAAGAACATCCATCAAATAGCATTGCTTATTACAAAATTAAGCTAGAGGTGGGAAAACCAATTTTATTTGCTTGATTTTGGGATCAAACAGCAGTTTACATGCGTTTAACGAGCTGATTACTTTAACAAGTAATTAGTGAAGGGATTTTCTACATACATTCTTTTAATTTTATTTTCACCTCCTATCTTATATTAAAAAAAATAAATTTATTGTTTCTCACCTATCATTTTTTGTTAACAAGGGTATATGCAAAAGGTATGTCAAAAAAAAAAAAAAAAATTTATTGTTTCTCACCTATCATTTTTTGTTAACAAGGGTATATGCAAAAGGTACGTCAAGAACTCAAAGGACTGGTATCACGCCATTGATCTATTGAAATTTGTTACCTTTTCATAGTTTTCACAAATATTCTTACCATAAACTTTCAAAACAAAATGTACGTGCTTTGTTAAAGATAAAAGGGTGAACTAACACATAATAAAAATCGTCGACATCTTAACAGTAAGCAAAGGTTAAACAATAATTGAGATATGAATGTGGAGAGAGAAAGAGATACCAGTAGATGGTTTTACCATGGGATTTTTGTCTTGTTGCACGTCAAAGCATCTTGAAAATGAGTTGTGTACGATAACAGATAACTAATATAAAGATGTAACAAGTTGTATGTCGACAGTCGACTCCTTGTCTTATAACATTATTCAAAAGATATTTTTTTTATTTTTATAACCTAAACTGTTTAATATTTCATATACATATATGTAGGGGTGTTCGTTTGGATGGATCGGTTTGATCCGATCCAATCAAGTAAATCCAAATTGATTTCGGTTTTCAAAACATGGATCTGAATTATCCAAACTAAATTCAAATCCGATCCGATCCGATCCAATTACAATTCGGTTGGATCGGTTTTTATAATTTGGCTTTCAAAACCGAAAATTTTTAAAACGACATATAATTATAATATTATCCAACTTTACACAAGAAGCGAAAACAAATAATTAGTTGTGATTTGAAATTTATAAACAACTAATAAAAAGATATATTATAGTTAAATATTTATAGATACAAAACTTTTGAGAGAAAATGCATATTAATGTTTTTTTTATCGAGTGAAACGTTTTGAACCTATGTGAAAAAATAAATTACAAAATTAATAAATAACTATAGATATATATATTATAAATAAATAAATAATATATCTTTATTCGATTTTTTTGGACTATTCGGTTCTTATTTTATAAAACAAAACCAATCTGAAATCCAAAATAATAATTCGGTTTTGTTGAAAACCAATCCAAAAATCCGAATATCCGAACCAAATAGTCCAATCCAAATTGTCCAATTGGATAATTCGGTTTTATCCGAATAGTGAACCGCCCTACATATATATGTGTATATGAAATAGTTTTTGCTACTTTCAGCACTAAAATATGATAAATATGTATGTTATATTTATCGATTAATACACAAAAGAAACATGTGATCTTTAGAAGAAGAAGAAAAAAAAAAGTGACAAAGCTTTATAGACGTAAAAACTTGTTATAAAACTACCTTTTTAATAATTTTCATCTAAATTCATCCAACTCATTTAAAAAAAGTTTAATAACACAATATAGATAGAATACCTGATAAATAATAAAACTCTCATACTATTTATAATTTTATATAAAGAAAAAGCTAGCTAAATTTCTAAAAAAAGAAATATATACTTGATTTTTTTCTTATTGTAATAATTCAAATAAAATATTAAGAATATTTGACGTTTCATTCAAAATAAGTCGTCGCCTACAATCCTACACTCTATTTACGGCAACCAGGAACTCTCTTGCTCGCCGGAAATATTCGCCCATCGTTATTCTTGATTTTTGACTTTCTTAATTTTCCCCCGCAGTCTACTTTTGAGGTATATATCTTCTACTTCATCGTGGAATCTATCAGTTTGACAGTTTCTATAAATGATTTTTTTTTCACACATACATAAAGGGGCGAATTAACATATGAGCTACAATGGAGCAACCTGACGTTGACGATATAATCCATAGGCTGCTTGAAGTTAGAGGGAAACCTACAAAGCAGTTTCAGCTCACTGAATCCGAAATCAAGCAACTATGCGTCGTTTCTAGAGAGATATTCTTGCAACAACCTAATCTGTTGGAACTTCAAGCACCCATTAAAATCTGTGGTATTAATCCTTATCTATTGATTGTTTTTCATGTTTTTCTTTCGAATCTTGATTACTTGTTTACTTTCCCCATTAATATGCCTTGTGTAGAAGATCCATTTAGAAAACACAAAATTGGGGAAAGTTGTGGATTATAAAAGCGGAAAACTCGATTTATCAATTAAAAAAGATGAAACCTTTTTGACGAATAATTCACGGATGCTTATCAGGTGATATTCATGGTCAATACGCCGATCTTCTTCGTCTTTTTGAGCACGATGGATTACCACCTGAAGTCGACTACTTATTTCTTGGTGATTATGTTGACAGAGGAAAACAAAGCCTCGAAACAATATGCCTTCTTCTCGCCTACAAAATTAAATACCCAAATAACATCTTCCTTTTGCGTGGAAACCATGAATGTGCTTCGATAAACCGTATATACGGCTTCTATGATGAATGTAAAAGAAGATTCAATGTGAAATTATGGAAGATCTTTGCAGATTGCTTCAATTGCTTACCTGTCGCTGCTCTCATTAATGAAAAGATTCTGTGTATGCATGGAGGTCTATCACCCGAGCTCAATAACTTCGATCAAATCAGAGAGTTGACTCGTCCTGCTGACGTACCTGATTCAGGTCTACTTTGTGATCTTCTATGGTCAGATCCACATAAAGAAGTCAAAGGATGGGCCATGAATGATCGAGGGATTTCATACACTTTTGGTGCTGATGTTGTGACAGAGTTTCTACTGAAACATGATCTTGATCTTGTTTGTCGCGCTCACCAGGTTTCCAATTTTTCACCGAATTTTGAAACGATGATATGAAAGATGAAAGATGTTAAAGTCTGTTTGATGTTGCAGGTTGTAGAAGATGGGTATGAGTTCTTTGCATACAGACAACTTGTAACGGTGTTTTCTGCACCAAATTATTGTGGGGAATTTGATAATGCTGGGGCTTTTATCAGTGTTGATGAGACTCTAGAGTGTTCTTTTCGAATACTAAAACCCGCTGAAAAGAAAAGGTCCAAATCTATGATGAATCTTTTTGGGAGCTCCACCAGCGGCTAATCCGCTCATTTTTACCCATGAACAGTAGATGATGCTTGTTTCTGATTCACTCTTAGAAATTTAATGTTTTTGGGGTTTTGTGAATATGATTGACACCATGAAGTTGATTTGTAAGCGATTTTTTAGATCAAATTAGGTGCGTAAAGAAAAGAGGGAGTTATTGATCTCATGATTCTTTCAAGTTGATGGGCCTTGGTGTTCTTCATTGCTTACTTATCCATTGCTTCTTAAGGCATGAGGCCTTTCAAGTGATTTTTGTTTTAATTTCTTACTGATTTTGTTTTCTTTATAATTAACTAAGTATCATTCAAATAAAAAATATTAAAATTAAAATAGAAAAAGAAAAAGTTGAATAAAATAATCCACATTAATGTTATGCTAGTGCCATCGTGAAATATCTGTTTTGTTTTTGAAGAGATAAAGTGTGGAGTCTATAAATCATATCTATAGAAGAAGATGTGCGACAGAGGTGGCCGAATGCGTGGAGGGGGTGGTGGGTGGTGTGTGATTGAAGTGGCAAAGGTGGAGGTGGAAGGAAATTGTTAAGAAAAAGCAGGGCTGATTTTTTTTAATGTTAAAAGGTTTGCGGGATTTAGAAAATAGTTTTTTGAGTAAATTATTGAAATCGTTCTTATGGTTTGGTCAAAATTGCATGTTTGTGATCTCTAAGTATTTTTTTTTTTATACATTTTTATGATTTTTAGGGTTCTTTATTTTGCATAGAACCTAAAACGATATTGGTTCTCCAAGGAACCAAATATTTTTTTCTAGTTCTAAAGTTTGATCTTTATCAAAGATAAATAAATAAATAAAAAGTAAAAGGATCTATATTCATAACTTAACATTGTGAATGTTAAATGTATTTTTCAGATTCACCGTGTGAATTTAGATTCATATTGTGAATTTGAAGAATTTTTTTTATAAAATTTGATATCATTAGAAAAATGATAAAAAAAATTATAAGTTTATGTATTTTTAGTTATTATTGTTTTTATTTTTATTTTTTTGATAAAAAAAGTAAGTTCTAAAAATTGAACAAAAGATTTGTTCCTTGGTATATATGTCATTACTTATATGTTAAGCTTTCAGTTTTGAAACCACCTCTCCTACCTTCCTTCTAAACCAATAGCATCCGTTTCCTCTTCCCCAATCTTCTAAACCAAGAAGCAGCATATAAGCTTCCTCAACCGCCTCCTCTTATGTCTCAATTAAGTTAGAAGATTTCTCCCCTCCCCCCCCCCCCCCCAACCCCAATAAAATATGTCGTAGTTTTGGTCTTCCAAGTGTTTGTGTGCTTGCTTCAACATCTTGACTGCCTGCTTCACCAGCCATTGAAGCCATGTCGTTAAAACATTTTTTTATAATGGACTTTACTTTCTCTTACCGCCACCTCCTGCTTCATTGCATGTGGGGTCATACCTCGTTTTTGTGATAAGTTGGAAGACGTCAGCACACCTCCATTCTAAACCAATAGCAATTCTTCCTTCTCCTCCAATCTTTAAGCTATCTACGTCGAGTCGTTAATCTTTCTCCTCAAGACAGAACACATGTTTATCCCATATTTATCTCATCAATACATGGCTTATGCTTGTCAATTCCACTGCAAAGTCACCTCTCTTTTTGATAATTCTCGTACACACGTCTACTTTATAAAAACTTTTTCTTCTCTTATTCTTTATTTCGTTTTCCACATACGTACCACAACATAGTTGACGTGCCAGTGGACGTCCCTCCGTCGCATCCATGAACACAGTTTAAGGGAACAACTTCCCACAACAGTACCAGGTAATAAATGGACCATAAAATTTATACAGTAATCATTAACGCTCTCTTCCCGATTGGATTTTTTTCTGTTGTGGGAAACCTTAAGAACTGATGGTGATAACGACCATGGTATTCTTATAAGTTTTACTTCGATCATGTTCCTAAAAGAATTCTTGATAGTTGTTATTAAATTATGGGAATGAATTTTCTTTTGAAGAATTAGATGATTCCTTTTTGTGTTTTGTCCTCTTTAATCATAGTTTTAGAGTAAATTGAGGCAATTAGGACATACCCTCCTCTTTCCTCCATTGTTGATCCCGTTCTACAACAACTGCATTCTCTTCTCCCTCTATGTTAGATGAGTCTTCTTCCTCTATGCGAGGTGAGTCGATTTCTACCAGTTTTTATTGAGGCCATATGAACTTACACCGTTGTATTATCAACTACAAGTGTACTCTGTTGTGTGTTCAACATGTAATGCCCTGTTCTGAATTGACTTCTAGTCTAAGTATGTGGCCCTAAGATTGGTCATCATAAGAATTAGGGCATTTGAAAAGGTAGGATCTAGGCCCATTTGGGTGCGGGTAATGGATTATAAGTGATTCGGGTGTTTGATTCGTGTATTGGAGCCAAGGGGTATATCGGTAAAGCGGTAGTTTGAGCTCTTTATGAATTTTGGATTTTTGTTCAGAAGGTTTTGAGGTGAGGATAAGTTGATGGATGCGTAGAGCTTCTCGCCACCTTTCCATGGATATAAGGATTGTTGGAATCGGGCTTATAACGAAGAAGTTATGGCCTTCGAAAGTTCATGGTTTTCAGGCTTAGCCGAGTACGTGGGGCGTACACAAAGAGTACATAGGGCGTACTAGTGAAGAAGGTAGTACGCTAGGCATCTCGACCAAGATGGTTGCAAATGTTCTTTGGAGTATGCTGGGCATACCAAAATTACGTTGGGCGTACGCCAGTCAGATCAGATGCCTATTTTAGGGTCTTGAACCCTATTTAAGCTCCTTATCTCATAACCTAACCTTAAGACCTTCAGCCTCCATCCCTTCAAACCCTAGAAATCGACCATTAGCCCCATTTGAGTGATTGTAGAGCTGCAAAGTGATTTTGGGTGTGTTTTGGTGCTAGAAGAGGAAGAAGGAACTTCTTGAAGAGTCATTGTTTGACTTGGAGCTTTTGGATCCAAGCTTTGTGCACTTAGATCTATCTTCTGGGGGTATAAAGTCTCAACCTTGACTACTGTATCATCCAGCATTTACAACCCAAAATTTTTTGTTTTAATATTACTAAAAACCATAATATCAAAGGTTATATAATAAAACCATGAATCATTTGTCTCAAAATGTCATAGTGAATGTATCAATTCAAAACTGAAGTCAATATCATATCAAAATATCTGAATAAAACTCCCAGGATAAAACTGCAATTGTGGTGTGTGCCATGCCATCAACCCGAGCTCTTCCCCTTGCTGGTGGAAGTACCTGAAACCAAAACTGAAATTGTAAGCACAAAGCTTAGTAAGCTCCCCTAGACAACCACATACCATACATCAACATAATAAACACATACAACAACTACTGGGCTCCACCCACTGCATCAGGCCCTGCCAGGCATCAGACCGAAGTCCGGAATAACCTGGGCCCCGCCCACTACATCAGGCCCCGCCCGACATCGAATCGAAGTCTGGAGTAACTTAGGCCCCACCCACTGCATCGGGCCCCACCCGGCATCGGACCGAAGTCCGAAATGAACTGGATATAACATATCAAGAACATTTAGCATAATCACATACTGTATCGGCTTGCCCGACATACTACACATAACAAAACATGCTTAAATCACGAAGACATCAAGCATACATACTACTGCTATCTAAACGAGCCGGCATTATGGTCGTAGACCCGTTCCTACTGGAAAAGGACTCAACTCGTAACGCTGGCTGCTGAGATGCTAAGTCTGAAACTGGCTAACCGCTGCTCTGGAATTCTCCGGCTACAAATCCCAAAAACACTAGATCAGGCACTGATAATTGACCTCAGGGAAAAATAACGATTTTACCCCTGGTCAAAGTCAACTTTCAGTTGCCCAGACTCGCCGAGTCAGGGCGTAGACTCGCCGAGTCCCTCCATCACTAGATCTGAACTCTAACTCACCGAGTCCATTCCCACTCACTAATTCACCCTAAAATCTCAAATTGGGGAAAAACCGGGACTCACAACTCGACTCGTCGAGTCTGAAGAACAACTCGTCGAGTCCCAATCATGCAAATTCCATACAGTTGATTCTAATCCACCTCAGTGTATCCAACCCATAGATCTAAGCTCCTGGGACTATCTGAACACGTAACGTTGCTAACTTTACGTGTAACCAATATGCAATGAAGCAATAACACTCAAACTTTACTATTATGGGGTTAATAAGCCAAAACAAAACCATGGTTGCCAAAAAGGTGATCTCCTTGAGCTTCTAAAGCTCAAGAGAGGCTAGATCTTAGATATGACTCGGTCATAAGGCATTATCACAAAGGATTTGGGGTTTTTAAGCTTATAACCAACAACTTGGGAAAAAACTAGATCTATTAGCACAATAAACAAGATGGAAACTTTACTACCAGAAGGGATGAACAAAGAGGAGTGTATTCTGGATCTACTTCTTCTTCATTGAGTTCTTCAACCTTCTCCTTCTTCTTCTTCTTGCTCCAGAATGCACCAAAAGTTCCTTCACAAGGCAAAATTACTCACACACACTTCAAGGAGGCTAGGGTATCGAGAATAGGCATCTGGGGAGTGAAGGGGGCTGGCTTGGGGCGATAATGAAGTTTAAATATGGTGCAAACCCTTGAAATTATGGTTTCATCCAGATAGGAAGACTCGCCGAGTCCCAGAATATAGACTCGTCGAGTAGCCAACTTAAATAGCATGCAAATACCGTCTCTACTCGACGAGTCGGGCTACAGACTCGTCGAGTACCCATTAAGAAATGAAAATTACTTTTATTTAAATCTCATACTAGAAATGGGGCGTTACAACTCTCCCCCACTTATCTTAGACTTTGTCCTCGAAGTATGCTGTTGCTGAATCTGAAAATAACTATGGATAATGTTCCCTCATCTCCTCCTCCGTCTCCCACGTCCACTCTGGACCCTTTTGGTGCTGCCACTGCACCTTCACTAACTGAACCACCTTGTTCCTCAAGGTCTTCGTCTTCCGATCTAAGATCGCAACTGGTCTCTCAATATAATTCAGGCTGCTATCAACCTGAATATCCTCCAAGGATACAACAGCTGACTCGTCCACCGAACACTTCGTTAACTGAGAAACACGGAAACTGTTGTGGATCTGGCTAAGCTCTGCTGGGAGATCCAATCGGTAAGCAACCCGACCCACCCGAAACCTAGGGCCTAGCTTGCCCCGCTTCCGGAACATGATAACACCCTTCCAGGATGATACCTTCAAGAGAACCATGTCACCCACCTGAAATTCCAAGTCCGAACGCCTCCTATCGCCGTAACTCTTTTGGCGACTCTACGCATTCTGCTACAGACCTGGTGGATCAACTCTGTGGTCTTGAGCACCACCTCAGTGCTCCCAATGACTCGCTGACCGACCTCACCCCAACAAATCGGGGTCCTACACTTCCTCCCGTAGAGCATCTCAAAAGTAGGGCGGTCAATTCTAGCGTGGTAACTATTGTTATACGAAAATTACGCTGATGGAAGATACGTATCCGAACAACCACCGAAATCTACGACACATGCCCGAA